GTAATTTTATCGTAACTCGTAACTATTCAAGACTAGACGCGTTAAACAATATTTGTGAACTCGTCGAGTTAAGTCACAAGTTTCCAAGTTATTTATATAAATTTCGTTAGGTTATTAGATTTAATGTCGAAAATTAAATTAACATAATAAATAAATTAATGGTCAAAATTCTATTTTCTRAAAAAAATGTTTAAAGACCTACATTAAAATAGCGACATTTATTTAAGATTATAGATGTTAGTAAAAATAACTTAGATGAGGAGCTTGTCGCGACTATGTCATATAAGATAAATAAGAAACACAGTATTCTAAAACTATAATATTATATTTTTGAAATTAACCCGTTAAAAACCAAAAAAAAAAATATGTAATATGTTAAGAAAAAATTCCTTCTGCTATTGGGAATTTTTTTACATTTAACTCCCATCCACGTCAGAAAAAAACACCAAGTAGATCCACTTTCCTACCTGAAAATATATATTTAAATTGAATACCTAAGTTTTTTTAGTGCTTTAGAAATAACAGATAAAAACGTAAAATAAAAAACACATTATTATAAAATCAGTACCTACATTCATCGCGTTTCTGAATTAAAAAAATGCAGTATTATTTTTATTATAAAGCACAAATATTATATTTTATAAAAAAAAATTAGTTTCTTGTCATATGAGATAAGTACTCAATTATAATTGCTATACTTTTCAACATAATTTTCACTTTAAATTATTTATAAAATTAAAACTTTTGAATTAATAATCCTTTAAAATTATACAATTTTAGGTTATATTATTAACACATAATAAACCAATACCTTGATCGGATTTGCGGGCAAAGGAGCAAGAAAATTAGCTTCGTAAGGATAATTAACCATCGCCAGTGCCACATACACGTCAGTTGCCCAATATTTTAGTTGTGCTACGTCGTCAGAGTGCTTTAACGGTTTACATAGTTTCCAGTTGTCCGTTAACCACGTTTTCCCAGAATCTACAAAAAACAGTATACCCGGTTCAATAATTATAATTTATAATTTATAATATTTTATTAGTGAGAATTCCTGTCAAAATAGTTTAAATYAACAAATGTTTGTACTTGTATTTCGTATATGATTCAAGACACCGATTTAATGATTTATGATTTCAGTTTGTAGAAAATTTAAAATTTATAAGACATCTTTAATGATAGAAGTACATACATCCAATCTGTAACCAATATATGTTTTGAAATGATGAACTAACTCTGTACCAGTTACAATTTTAACAAAATTCTTGGCATTTAATTATTTTTTATTTTATTTCGAATATTACGACATACAAGTTCAAATTAAAAAAAAAAAAACAATAAGACTAAAATAGTATGAACCGGTTGATAAATATAATACAGACAGGTTAACAGATTTGTAAATAAATTTACAGTGACAAATTTGAAATTATTGAGGTCATAGTTAGTGGTTTTGATGATTTATAACTTGAATTAAGCTAAATAGTTAATTATAACTACTGCTGTTAATAAAATATAGATATTTTACATTGATTCAAAATGTTACAAAATAATTTACTAGATTCGGTGATGTTATCGATGGCTTTCCAAGATGCTGAAATAGTCAATCCACATTCTGCACTGGTATTTCTATAAACCGACGATGTCACTTTATAGAAATCATTGCACGGTGTCATCCCAGTGAATTGCCATATTGGAGCTGACGAAGCTATGGCTCTACATTTTATTTATTATTTTAATAACAAAATACAATAATAATAAGAGTAGAACATCGCATACAACTAGTAGTATGTATTTATAATGTAAAAACAATTTATAAAAATATTTTTAT